CACTCTTTCCTGGAACTTCTCATCTCCTCCAAGCGTATTTTCTAGCTGTGGAAGAAAAAAGCTTGTCAAACAGATCCAGGCTCAGATAAATCCAGCCTAAAGCAGATCTTCTAGCTTTGGCTTTCAGGTACTCAAGAGCTACATCAAAGAGCATCAGTGGGAAAGCACTGCTCTGCAAGAGCTCAACAACATGCACGAACCTTACAGAATGACGATATTTAGAAAGAGGATAAAAAAAATTAGTAATTCAGAGCCTTAGGCAAAGCAGTTAATACTGTTTGTAGCCCAAAGACAATGAATTAGTTCCTCCCTTTTTGTTAAGGGAGAGGATTGAGGCCTGATAATAAAAAAAAAAAAATATCTTTCAGATGGGGTGGGGAGGTGGGGGAAATCAGCTATGAATGGGTTTGTGTTTGTCAGTACCTGATCAACCAGAGGCATCATCAAAGTTTCTGCTCTTTCCTTACTGAGGAACTTCTGGGTGTCAAACAGGAAGAGCTTGTGCAGACAGTCCATGGTGAATTGCAACAACAGACAGCTCTTTTCTGTGCTGTTCTCAGAGTCAAAGAAAGCTTCATCTACACATCGATCAAGGAGGAAAAAAAAAAAAATCAAAAAAATGAAAATACGAAACTTCCCCACAAGATAGAAACAGTGTTAGCTTGTGAATATAGCTAAAGGAGTACATAACATAGTAGTTATGTACTCATCATTCAGAGCAACGAAGTGGATGCAATATGTTATCTGGCTTTTAGCTGATGCCCTAGCAGGTCTGCCACTACTGTTCAGTCAGCTGGGGATAAAAGAGGATAGCCACAGGCTACAGGAGAAGTGCTTGGCCATACCTGTGGATACGGAGGATTTCTTCAGATCACTACAAGTGGGATGGGCAAATAACTTCCCATACAAAAAAGTAATTCAAGTAATACCTATTTTTGCCAGGAAAGCAGAGGAGTCTGAATACACTAGGTAGCATGTAAGAGAAGTCAAAGAATGAGGGGAGAAAAAAAAGAGGAAAAAAATCCCAACAAACAGAAACCAGTCACCATCTTTCCACACAATTTTATTCTCATGGAACTCACTGGGACTCACATTGAAAATTTTCATCTGGTCTCAACTTTGTACTGGCAGCCCAGAGCCCATGGATGAAAAATGTCCTTTGGTTCCATCAAAATAAGAAAGATGCCTTATTTATGGGAGAGGGAAGAGAAACGAGAGGTATGTGCTGCGAAGTAAATCCTGTAAGACTAAACTTTCAGCAATTCTAATTAACCTCTCAGTGATCAGAGTTAGCCTGACAATGCCTCTCTCTGGTTAGTAACTGAGAACTTACCGGTTTTA